CTCTCTTTCTCTCCCTCTCTCTTTGATTTCTTTTACTGACATATATAGCAACAACGTGGGTGCAGACGTGAGCAAATTTCAAATTCTGGTTCACCCACTGCAACGGATACCTCACAATCGTATTCAGATATTTTAAACATTCTCCTTGTAATAACTCCTTACGTCAGGAGCTTCATTAAACTGGCCGTTTTCCTCCAGTATTTTTGCACAAAGTCCAGATGCGTGCATATCTGTGTATGGTCCCGTAACACCATGCCTTAGCGCAGGTAGGGCATACGGTCCCCTAGCGCCAAACACTATGGGGGCGTACGGTCCCCTAGCGCCAAGCGCTATTGGGGCGTACGGTCCCCTAACAATAGCCTTTATTTAATTTAGTTGTATTGAAATACATTGTTAAACCAACTGATTTTATGCCATGTGTTATCTTGAGACTCACAATTAGATCAAGATGAAAAGTGTAAATGGCGTGATGCCATTGTGGTTGGCAATCAAGGTTAACAGCTCTTTGCTTTCCAGAAGTCATACCCATCTATGGGCCACATCAGTTTCTTTCAAAGGAAACTGAGATCATTTTACCGATTGTGGGCCTGACCATGATTCTCCTTGGATTCTTGCCCTGATGAATATGAAAAGATCCCATACATTCGTCGAAGTTCTGACATTTTCTTACTCCCAAGCATCAGGACCTTAAGCAGAGACTACAGTACTGGCAGTCCTAACAAATCCCACTTAAAGTTTTTTTTTCTAAGTACCTGTCTATTTACATTCCTCTTTCCTATCAGGATTTTCCCCATCCATGGATTTGTCCAAGGTAAAGCAGGCAGCATTGCTGTCTGCTCTAGAGAGTGTCACCGATGCTGCCACGGAGATCATACGGAATGCCAGAAATGATGTTCAGAGTAAGTTGCCTTATTTTACTATGCAGTGTTAGCATGTACCCATATTATTGCTTTTCTAACAATTCAGAAATTTTAAGAGATGTTTTTTACTTAGTGGAAATACCATGAGGAGCTTGTTATAAAAGTCTGAATTTCCGAAATAATGAATAAGAATATGTCGGCAGGAAATTTCATATGAAAGATATATATAGATCTAGGCCTGAATAAATATTCAGCAAAATTGAAGTACAAATCATTTGTCCATGGCAGTACTTTACTTTTCTACAGCAATCACAAGATAAAATATCATTTCCCGAAATGTGTATTTAAGATTATTTTAGTGACTTAATATGGATTCATTGACTTTGGCAACGATCGCCTATCATTTATAATCAACACTTTGGGACTCTCTCTTTAGAGAGTTTATTGCCAGTGCTGCTTATATCGACTCAGTACATAATTACTGTAGGTCACAGGAGGTTATTAGGTACTCTGGTGTGGTTCAATCTTTCTTTCCTATCAAACATTCATGGTCCTTATCTCTCCGCCTTACTGTCCAGTAATACCACTAATTTTCGTCACTTATATGACCTATTTGTGTTGCAAGTGCTGTAAAACACTTACTTAATTTAGAAGTATATGACTCTGTACATGTCCTCATATTGTGTCACTCTCTAATCTGCAGGCAGCAGTGAAGACTTTGTGTCTCAGAAGATTGGTAAACTCTTCCGAATTGTGGGTCTGTACAAAAAAGCCTTTGAAAAGTAAGTCTTTCTAGAAATGTGTTTTCTCTTTTACTTCGATTTTCTCTGTAATAATTATTGGATAGTGAGGGGGGAGGGGGAGGGATGTTGCTCATTTGATAGAACTGGGAAGTTGACCTCAGCTTTATACATGTTTTGGCTCATCGTGTCGACAACACAATAATTATTTCTGTATATTGAAGTGTCAATTGATCATTTTGTAACTCCTTTGAAATGTTCTGTGAAGATGGAGGAAGCAATTGAGCCCATTATTATTATCAGTGAGGGAAAAAATATTGTTTTGTCTTTCCAGGGTTGAAGCAAAGTCCAAAGATGAATTTGAGAGGAAAGCGAGTCGCCACTTCAGGTATGTACAGAACTAGAGTCATGCCAGTTTTGTCCAATCACGCCTCCCTTCCAAAGTGAAAAAAGAAAAATTAAAGATACCTTCTGCTTACACTTACAATGGCATGCATGTACAAAATATTTCACAAATAACGAGATTTCACATTTATTTATTTTTATTTTTTCTCTTGGACACACCCCAAGATCTTTAATCTCGAAGCTCTGTCACTGACTTTATTTCAGTACTGTTAGATGCGAAGCACTGATGTAATAAGCGATCTTCTTCTCCCACATGAACACACCGGTGGTTGTTGATGTAAAAATGTAAACAGTTCCTTGTCTGGTAACCTCACTTTGCAAGATGCGAATATGGCCAAAGTTATTCTTCGTGTTGTTAGGCTGTTCTTCTGTTGAGACCAGTAGCAAGTTCGTTTCTTTAGTAACTTATCTTCTTTTTGTCATTGTAATGAAAGCTCTGATTTTTTCTTATATATGTTTGTTAATTGTTTTTGAGGGGGAATCTCTTTCTGGATAGGTATTTCGTTTCATCTTTATGGGTATTTTTTTCTTGCCTTTTATGATATAAGAATAGAGTAGAGTATGAATTTCAGTGACGAAAGGTCAATGTTGTCTGTTTGTGTGTTTTTGATACTTTAAAAGTTAGTGGCTGGTGTGTCTTTAAAGTTTCAGCCATCATTGTATAAAACCATGAAGCATCCATACCAGAGAAATCCAATAGGGAAACATGGTGGTTTAAAGAATTTTTTTTTAGCAGACTTCCCCTTTTGTACCGCAATAGTAAGTAATTTTTGTTGCTGAATTCTATTTTTCCTACTAATATTGATTATTATGCTGTGATGTTTTTCCCTGTTCTAACACAAGTCTTCCTTTTACAGAGATGGAAAAATGAGAGAAGCGTTTGATGAGCTTCTTGATGTTGAGGTAATTTTTTTTGTTTTGTTTTTTGTTTTTCACCATTTTTATTTTTTTATCTCAATTTTTTTTTACTGTACGCGTGTTGATCTATGATACTGGAAGAGAGAAGGTTGTTAACTTGTTAGGTTTCATCCTCATCAAATGTTATTGCAGTCAAATAGGCTTTTGTTTGCTTGAGGGCTACTTGCCACATTATTGGCTTCAGTTTTTATATTTATCAGACTTAATTTTTCCTGTGAATTTCTGTGCGTTCAACGGATATTAAGTCAGAATGCTCTTGTCATTGCTCCTGTTACCAAAAGTTGACAGAGATAAAAAAAATGTTTTCCTAAATGTTCTTCCCGAAATGTTGACTATGTTCATTAAGTGCTGGTATTCTACTTCACAGCGAGAGTGGGATGACTTTCTCATGGGAGTGGACAAAGGTCTTGCTTCAACAGGGGGCCCTGCGTTACGCGAGGGAGATGTGGGTCCCATCTCAGACAGCCTGGTCAATGCTTGCACGGAGCTGCCTACAACATTTGAGGATTTCTTGATGGATCAGCAGTTTCTCGTGCTTGTGCTGCTGAGACACTTTGCCTGATTGCCCTGACGAGACCATGTGCGTGCAATTGTTTCTAGACAGGTCAGTTAAGTTTTCTGTTTTTTGTGTACGTGCCAGGTTTTTATCTTTTTTTTGGAGTAAGTTGTAGCCTATGCAGTTGAGTAAGCCTGATTCCCCATTTAGACTTCTCTGTTGACATCCACCCCTTGGCGCTCATATGACCGTATGCAGTTGCCAGCGCCGTAAAACCTTACTAAAACAAACAAAAGTAGAACTTGTGTCTAAGGCAACCACCCATTGTCGAAGAGAAAAGTGGTCATCGTAGACAGGTGGTCTTCTTGGATCATCATCATCCAGTGCCAAATCTGCGACAGACATCGGCAATCATGGTTCTCCATTCCTTCCTTTACTCGGATGCTCTCAAAAAAGCTACATTTACCTGATCTTTCCCTGTTACCCATTTGTTTAGGTTCCCTAAGTATGTTGTTCTGGGCCTACCCCTGCCTTGCTTGCCCTCAGTTTTGCCAGTGAGAGCTAGATGTTCAAGACCCTTATGTCTATTTATGTGTCCCAAAAACTGCATTTGTCGTTTCCTGATTGTTTTTAACATTGAGCGTCCCACGTGGGCTTCATCAAGCACTACCTCATTTGATTTCTTTTCCTTCTTGGATAGTGACAATATAATGTAAAAAACACATGAGGCAGGAATGGGAAGTGGTTGTATGTACAGGTCAGGGACAGGTGGTTATTAACTCTTTATCTGAGAGGGGGGTAAACCTACAACGCCGGGGCCCTTATTTGGTACTAAATCTAAAAATGACACAAAACATCACTAATTGGGTCATTAAATCAAAACAAGTCGACCTATTTTGATAGTTCTCTCAGCCTTGTCAGCGGCTCGTCGGCACGGCGGTTCCGACCGGTTCCAACCGTGTGCTGCTGGGAGCGGCTTGCGGGAGATTAGAAGTTAAAGCAGGTTCAACTGTATGTTTCCCTGTTCCAAGTCTATGTTTGACTTTCTGTTTGCTAACAGGTTTAGTTTTTCTTTTCATGTATATAATATCTTTTTAAAAAAAGCATAGATTTCCCAATGTTATGGCAGTTGTCAGGAGACCAAATCTTTGCTCTGTCTAGTGATCAATAGGTACAAGAGAAATTCCTTTTCTGTCTTAGCTGTGGCTGTTTTGGCGATGTTTTCATTCTATAATAACCAGACCTTTTCTACAGAAGAACTTTGTGTTCTCAGTTTTTTTATCAGGCCTTTCTTACAGTAGGAAACTGTGGAGTTCATTCTTTTTTTTTGTTCATACAGGCAGAAATCTCAGAAGCCGGAGGCAGAATTTTGATGGTGTCTTTTGGAGAGCGTCATGGAGCTCTGAAATGGCTGGAAGAAACGCAGTGTCCGTATGACATGGTTTTGGATGGCAAGAGGACGGTAAGTTGGCTGTTTATGGAGAAAATGAATGTCACCACTCTTATGACCATTTTTATTCTTGGAAAAGAACTAGATGATAGATTGATTTTTCCTGAGAAAGAAGGGGAAAGGGATGGGGGGAAGGGTTGGGAAGGTAGAATGCATTATCATAGGCTGTAAAATAAAGATACTAGATATATAGAACATTAGAAATGTGTGAAAATTAGGAACAAACTTCCCAAAATACTGAGTCCGGAAGCTCAGCGCACCCTCCAGACTCCACAGAAATGTGGTCAGTTTTTTCTTTTCTTCTATTTTATGATTTAACGGACAGCTACATATTTTATTGTACTTGTTTTTGTGGTGCTTTAATAAAGATAAGGATCATAAATCTCACTTGTCAGAGCATTTCTACTAAGAAGGTGCTTAAGTTAATTAAGTTAATGTGCTTACAGTATAATGGTTAGAAAAGCATTTCTGAAAGCAGAGAAAGATAAAATGTAAAGCTCCAATTGCTTAAATGTTTTTTAATTTAGTTTTTCTTGTATGTCCTCAGATATATCAAGCATTCGGTTTAAGTAGATCTGTTTATAAAGTAAGTACTCAAATAAGCTAAGTCTTTATTCACCAGATTCAAGGAATGATGTCTTTGTTACATCTTTTAAATCAGATAAGTTGAGTCTGCTCTTATGACCACCTGCCTAAGACCTGTACAAATAACTGCTTCCCACTTTCCCATCTGTGTTTTTTTCTGTATTATGATGGCACAGTGCAAGCCGTCTACCAGTCTTAGGCAACTACTTTTTGCCTCAACAATGGGTGGCCATCTTGAAAAAATTCAACTATGTATATATTCCCATCACTTTTTTAAAAATGACTGTCATCTGCATGCACTTGTTCCCAGTCCCACCTCTCATCCCCCCCCCCCTCCCCCAAGACAAAACTAGCCAAGCAAGATAATTTTTGTTGTGTAAATGACAACAGTTTTAACTATGGACAGGTCTACACACTGAGAGGTTCACAGATTTACCTCAGCCATCAACACTGCGACAGTGTTACTGTATATATGTTGAAATGTGGACACTGCTCTTCAAAATTCTTTCTCTAAATTAGAAACAAAAATCCTAAAGTTTTTTATGACATGGAAAATACATAAATTGGAACTCCTCCTCCCCCTTCTCTCTCTGAATTTAGTTTCTTGGGATCTACAATTTCTCACATGGTGGTCTATGATCTATGATCTCTTGTTCTCTCACATGATCTCTGATCAACAGTTCTCACTTGGTCTTTGATTGGTAGTTTCTAACGGTCTCTGATCTCTCGCCCCCTCAGGTGTGGAGCATTGCATGCATGGTCTACTACGCTGAACAACTTGTGGCTGGTCGGGAACTGCCCAAACCCTTTGAAAATGTTCATGATGATCCCCAGCAGGTAAGCTTACACCTAAGTATGGTCATCATCATCATATTGCCTTTCTCACCCTGCATCAAGTTAACTCATTCGCTACGTATTATTTTCGGCTTGTGGACGAATTTTTTTCGGGAGGGCGAAATGAGATGATGACTAGTGCGCAGTTCACAGGTCTTGGGGGTCATAAATTCAAATAAATATCAACATATTATATACCAACATTTTTAGTATGGTTTGTAGAATACATCTGCATTATTTATTTGTGTATTTTTCAACTTTGGTTCCTGTAAGAGGCGATTATGCAACACAATTGTGATTGGCTGCGGATAAAATTTGAAAACAAAAAATTTATAATCTCAGATGAAACTCAAAAAATATGTTTGCACCTAGTCAAATGATACATCAAAATAACCATAACTGTATATAGAACAGGAAAATATTGAAAAATGAGCAGTTATTTACATACATTCCATAATATTTGTACATTTGGATCATAACCTCCGATATTGAAAAAAAAATAATTTTTAAAATAATTTTGAAAAAAGGATCCTAAGCAGAAAAAAACACTTGTATCTTATATGGAATTATCCAGAATTGTATTTGGAATAAACCTATACATGTCTAGGGTGGTACTTTTTGAGTAAATTCACAAAAAATAGTGATTTTGGGGAGAAAAAATATTTTGACTATTTAGATCTAGGCCTAGATCTAGCATTCAAAAATATTGATTTCTCAATTACAGTGCACTGGCAATTTGAGTCCAGTAGTATCAATATTATAAAGAAGAGTCCTACATTTCTTTAGTGGGCAAAATAATGATACATTTTGTTGTGTAAAAGTACTAAGACTGGTGTCTGGGCTATAATTTGGGCTTCGCGATAAAACAATGTCGCATAAACTTCGAAATCGTGTTTCAAAACTGAATCAAAACTTCCGATTTTCGATGGAAACGCTTGACCCGGAAGTCAACTTTATATTGTGACCTTTATTTTAACATGGATATGTGGATTGGAATAGAAACCAAGCTCAAATTGAACGTCGGTTCTCGAGCCGCCGGGGGCGGCTTAGCATACTGACGGCACTCTAGCCGTGCCGCCCCCCACGGCTCGGCGTAGCGAATGAGTTAAATGCCACGGACAAACACTTTCCACCTTTCTCTCTCTTAGGCTAGCCTCTTGATGTTATTCCATGTCTTCCTACTTTTTTGTACATCAATTTCTGTAATTCTTCTCCATGTTCCACACGGTTTTCCCCTTGATCTTTTAGGTACCGTATGGTATTAGTCTAAATTGTTGAAGACAGCCTCCAACTGTGGAGGAGAAAAGTGTTTGGTTGTCTTAGACAGATGAACATCTTGGACAGTGTTCTTATAATTAAAAAAAAAATCAATTTGGAAAGTGGTTATTTGTAGATGATTGTCTTGGACAAGTGGTTGTTACAGCAAGTTGGACTTTGTATTGTTGAGCTCAACACCTGTAAGGCCTCATAATGTTTCCATCGGTGATATGACAAAACAGAGGAAGTGAACAACACACTTCTCTCAAAACAATCCGATTATGCCAGGGGCTTTTTTGCTATATTATTACTGTCGCCTACGGTGTCCAGTGGGAGAAAGAGATGACTTATTGCTCACGCCGATTGGCGTCCGGTGTGGGGGGCAAAGTGTTAATATTTAACCAGATTGGCCAGTCTACTCCAGTCATTCTGGAATTCAGTCACTGGTTTTTGGGTTGTTTTTTTTACATCTATTTGAAATATTTGTTGTAACTAGTGGTTTATTATAGTTTATATCATGACAGAGAATTTACAACAAAAGAGGCTCTGGCATATAAAACTATTTTTAGCTTTTCCTGTCAAGTATCTCATTTTTACCTGCCATTATCATGTACCACAGCTGTTATGCCTTTTCACTTTCAGATGGGTGGAGACTTTGTCCTAGACCGCCAGGGTGTGATCAAACTGTCATACCCGAGCAAAACCTCGTCTGATCGCCCATCGGTGGATCAACTACTGGCGGCCATGACAGTCAATGACCCAGATTCTCTTCCTTCCACAAGCAAAGTTCAAACACAAGACAAGTAGTGTCTTAGTATCTGATTTTCTGTGTGTGTGTTTTATGTGTTTGTGCATGGGAAAATTTGACTGTAACGATGATGAAGCTGTAAGTGGAGATGAATTGACAGATTTCGATCTTGTTTCAGAAAAAACAGATGTCATTCTTCAACATATATCTTTAAAATGTTTCTTCGATCCATTCATAAAAAGAGCATGCTTACTTGTACAGCCAATATCCTTCACAACGTTGAGTGCTCTATTTATTTTTTTTTTCAATACCAAGGAACAGTGAAGTCCACTGAAACCAAAAATGGGGAGACTGCCTGATTTTCTTTGAATTAGCCAGATTTTTCATTGTCACTCTCGTAGTTCACTGTCTTTCTACGAATGTACCCTAACCCTATCCGTATGCCCTGGGGTCGTTTTGTACCCCGTCTTCACATTTTAGAATACTTCTACTACTTTTAGTACGAAGATCTCTTTGAAACTTTAAGTGTTTTTCAAAAAATCATTTTGACAGACTGCTATGCAGAGTGTATGGATCGGATTAACGAGTAAATATCCTCTTTGGAAAGTGGTGGCACAGAGCTCCCCACGTCTTATGGATGCAATAGTAAAACACGACGTATGGATAGGGTTAATATTTATTTTCCCATAATAGATCCAAATGTGGACTCTTTCCATTTTCAAAAATGAGAAAAATAAATGCATTACATTTTTTAAAATTAGGCAACCTTCCTTTTGCCTACTTACTAGTCAAATATTGTTACTTTCAAATTTCCCCTGACTTTTCTGTCCTGTTTATGATAGAAGCAGATGAAATCAAGTTCCGATGTCTGCTTCTGGATGTGCCTATAGGAGAGAAATGTCCAAACACAGAAAGATCTCACTTGCCTGGATGATGATTCTCACTCTAGAGATTTTCTATCCAGGTTTTATTCCTTTATTTTGGTTGGTCGACTTTTTTTCTTTTATTCTTTTCAACAATGCCATGTTGTCTACCGTACCATACCAGCATCCGTGGGGTAATGGTGAGGCATTTTCCTGTTTTTACATGCTGAAGATGTGAGTTTGATTCCCATGTGAGGAGTTTTTATCGAATATCTCCATATATATATTATGTCTTTCGGGATGCTAAATTGCTCCAAGCCCGGGTTGGCCATGAATTATCCTGATGGGGGTGTAAAACTTCTACAATTTTTACATTTCTGTCTCTCTGTATAACTTTTATCATAGGGAATGCCATGATGTATATATGAGTGCATATGTGAGCATAAATGCTTAAGTGCATATGTGTACGAGGGCTTAACCAAGCTTTTAAGCTGTTTTTTGAATAGATGTGTTGGTAAGTATACATACATTATATCTTCTATTCTGTTTCCTACTTTGTACATGAAAAATTCCCTATCTCATAAATTTCATTTGTCTCAGGGGAACAATACTTTACAACGACTAATGAATGTGACCAAGGCCCTTGCTCAACTCAATCTGTGCGTAGATCTGTGACTATGGGACATAACAATACTTACACGGAGCAAGGAACTGTGCCAGTTTTTCTTGCCAAGAAAAAAAGAAAGGTCTTTGAAATTGTGGGAACATTGTTGATGAAAATAGGACTCACTTTCAAGACATTTAACTGTTTCATTAATATACACCAGTACATCAGACTTTGCTTTCAGCAATTCTGACTTCAGGTGAGAAAGCAAAGTACAAAAAGAGTTAAAGAGGGGCTAAAATTTGTTTCTCTCTTTTTGAATTCCATAATACAAGACAAATTGTTTTGGTTTCATAAAAGTAAAATATAAAAATCACACTTTTTACCATCTTCGTCATATTTCACTATTCATCCCGGTGAATTGTTTTATTTTATCACCCAGTTCATGGGTATTCAAGTACCGTAGGTTTTCCTGCAAGAGTGGTTTATTATAAGAAAGATAATAAAAATGATAATGTCTAAAACGCATAGCCTGTGTTTGTCATTTGTGTTAGTGGAATATTTTCCCAAACACTGATTAAATTTGTTTGCAGGAAATGTTATTTTTGTCTTAGGCTCCATGGAACTATTACCACTATTGGATTGTCACAGCAAAGCGTAAACAAAAATGAACTATAGAATTTTTCTAAAAATAGCCATCCTTTCCTCAAAATGATAGACTGGGTCCCAACAAAGACTGAGTAGATCTCAGAGAGTGCACATCCATACTACAAGTCTAGCACTTTGCTCAATTAGTTACTTTTGTAAACTAAAAATAATTCTCTTCTTCTTCTTCTTGATCGCATCACACTTGAAGACCAGTATCTATCACATTGTACTGGGCCGTCCTGCTCAGTTCCTCTGTTGGCCCATACAGGTTCTCCTGTGAGATGGCCACTTGTCAAGTCTTATGGATCTATGTGTTGATAGAGTAAATCAGTTTCAAATTTTTCTCCATACACAAAAAAATATACTCACGTCTAGTCATTACAACCATAAATCCTTTAATTTACGTGGCCACTTTTTCAACCCCAACTTCCTTATGTCACAGTCTCCGAGTGCCTGGCGGAATAAAGTTTAATTGTTTTCGGGTTTTTTCCTTGTTTTTATGCAGTGGGTAAACAAACTATATATGTCTTAAACGGACTAATGTCAGCGCAAGCAATTCACAACAAAATGTTTGGCGCTCAAATGACCTTACGCAGTTGCTCTACTAAAACTAAACAACAAAATGAGAAATCAAACACAGTATGTCAAATCCAAGTCATTTATAGAGAAATACCAAGAGATAAAGAACTCAAAAACACAAGGTCTATATAGTACTGTACCCCCCGAGCACCTTCATTGAGCAATCACGATGAAGCCATTTTTGCAAACCATCCCTCACACTTCCAAACACACAAAGTTTACAAGTTACACAAAGTGTTCGCTTCGTAGCAGAAGTTATACGAGAAAAGTTACAAGAGAATCACAACAAAGTTCAAATTAAAACATTTCCAAACCTACACATCATTCTATTTCTAGCAGTCGCTATCACGGAGCATGAGTGTGCTATCTTATAAACTGCACCAAACGCTTTAAAATGAAAACACAGATGACTCGCATTTTCTTTGTGATCAAATGGTGAACTTTGCAACAGCGAGGAGATTCACATTTTTTGGGACACCTCTGAAGCCAAAGAATTTCAGACAAAAGCAACTGAAAAAATTGTATAAGTAATGTACAGTCTTTGGTTGAACCAAACACACAACACCCTGTTCATGATTCAGGCACACACACACACACACACACAGAGCTGAGACTCAAGATGTTTCCAACATGGCAGAAGATCATCAGGAAACTAACACAAACACAAACAGATGGAGTCTATGACACTTACACAATAAATCATACGTGATATGTGTCATTCTGAAAAACAGTGCCAGCTTTCTATCTCCCCGCCCCCACCCCACTTTTCCTCACCCACAAACACAATCCACATTACCCTGAACTGTCCTCTTATCGGAGATTTAAAACAATCGTGGTATTAACTTGAGTCCTTTACTCGAGCACTAAATTTATGCATACGGACCATGAGTTTATGTAACCCCAAATAAACTTCAACAAAATACTGTTTTGATATGATTATTGAGAAAAGGGAACTCTCATTTGGAACATTTATGTATAGCTATGCAGAAAAATCTTCAAGTAACCTTGCTCAGTCGTATGTCGCACATTGTGAGTAGCTTTAGTTGGAGTATTTTGTGACTTACACTTGTAAAGTGAACATACAATTCCACTCATAGCTGTTTAGAAAATCATCAAGGTTATATAAATATATCTATTCTTTTTCCCTTTCCATCCCTCTCTCTCTCTCCCCTTCTCCTTCTCTCCTCCTCCTCCCTCTCTATCTCTCTCACCAAATCTCAATTAATACAGTCTGAGTCAGATCAGTCAATAAAAATAGAAGACTGAGCGCAGAATTTGAAAAAAAGCGACAAACCATCCAAATCGTCACATGATGATGAAGAATGCATTTAAGTCGGTAGTAAAGAAAAACTTTCATTATTGGTCAACAGTGCTAGGATATGTCTAAACCAGATCTCAACCACACAAACTAAATATAACAATTTCAATCAGTACACAAATCAATCAGTCAAAAGATTCTGCTACACTCAACCTGTGAACAACACAACCAACTCTCCTTCCTCGCTCCTCCTTTTACACCAGGGGTATCAAATTCGCAGCCTGTGGGCCAATTGAAGTCTACAGGACGATATTTTGGGGGCCCTACTTTTAATTTTAAAGTTAAATATGGATTATATTGGTGCAGCCTGCTCATTGTTTTCCCACACCCATCTTTTTGTCAATGAAGGGAGTTCAGCGGACAAAAGACATCGACTAGAGAGCAGTGATGAAATCCATACATTCCATCATTAAAGCTTTGATAAAACAATTCATGCATACATTCCATTTGATTTACACATGAGCACCTTTGAGATTCATGGAGAACGCAAAAAATATATATGTATATATATTTGCACAAATCAAAGACCACAAAAAATGTAAACAATACATTCCACTATAACTGTACACACTCTCCAAGAGAATACAATGACCACACATCTCCAAGAGAATACAATGACCACACATCTCCAAGAGAATACAATGACCACACATCTCCAAAACTCCACAAGTGAATACAGTAGCCTTGTTCTAATCTTCTACTCGATATAAGATTTAACATATGAATACCATGCTTTTATTATGAATTTATTATGTACACGACTTGCGTAAGAGAGAATGAAAGAATAAAAAGCCATTAGAATAGAAGTAAACTATGTTAAAAGATACAGGACTTTTTTCCTGAGAATATTCCCAATAAAAGATTATGATTTTGAAGACAATTTATTCTAGAGCAATCTTATATTATGAACAACTTATTACTCAGTATCATTCTAAAAAGAGTGTAAAAAAAACCCAGTCTGGAATTTGATGTAAGCTCCAACTGCCATTCATATCCTCTCCTCCTCCCCCCCCCCCCCAAAAAAAAATCCCAAAATGAGAATGAAATTAAACTGAAGACGCAAAAATGAAATCAAGAATAAAAACAGCAACCAAAAATTACAATACCAATCTCTGAAAAAGATTTTGTACATTTTAATGTCGCGCTCATATTCACTTGTTGTAAAGAAGCTATTGCTGCGTACATGTGTAAAAAATTTCTTCAGGGCATCGCTGTCATCTAAAAACCCAAAAACATTTTAACAGTCAAAAGCATCAAGTGCTCTTTCTGGAACACAGAGAGAAAAGACAAAAAAAAGACAACAATAACTGAGCATGCAAACAGCTACATGCAAACTATGATTATCAATATATGTGAGGCAGCGTGGAGGAATCAGGCTCTCGTCAAAATAATCAAAATGAAGAGACTTGCATTTTTCCGCAGGTTTGTGAATTTTTATGGAATTTTTGTTTTTTGGCTCAACACCTTTCGTGCCCATTAAAAAAACTCATTTCTGTGTGAATTTTTTCTGAAAAACGTTGATTAAAGGTACAAAAAATTTAAATTTTCAGTTCCCACGGACTCTTAAGCTAGGAAATAATTAATCTTTGGCGGCCATTTTCTCTCTAATTTTACCTCTGACAACAGGTGACCCCCACCTCCTTCATTCGCAATATCTCAACTTTTATTCTAGATAAATGGATATTTTTTTCATCCAAATAGAGACAAGTGAACAAGCTTTAAGATGATACCAATTGCTCTACATGCCCCAAAATTGACGAGAGCCTGATTCCACCACGCTGCCTCACATATAATCGAATAATAGAGAGGGATAAAGGTCTGATGATAATATTCCACACGTTCAAATAGCAAAACACGTTGTACGGTACTCTGTTGTTATCAAAGAAAATATGACTGTAAATGTAGCTGTTGTCGAAAAAAAAAAAAGAGGAAAATAATCCAGATTTTTTAAACTCACACTTTCTTAAAAATAAAACAGAGTCACACAAAGTCACTCATTTCTTAAACTAAAACCATGGCAATGTTATATATATATATATATATATATATTCATTGTTTGTCAGACCCTGTATTGCTGGATGAAATGATGACATTTATCACATCAAACCAGCACAACCACTAAACAATATATTACAAAAGAACGAGAATTCATGAAGACATGATTAGAACTGGCTTAAAATACAATAAAACCCTCAATAACAGTAGAGAGAGATCGAGCACTTTGAAACCACTTGGTCGCACAGCGAAGCTGTAGAAAGGGACACAATTCTGAGTATTCTAGAAAGAGAAAAAATTGTTTCTCTACATTTTCCCTCTTGAAATAATTCTTAGCTTTTTTCCCCCTGCTTTACTAAGTATGCACATTAATTGTGACAATCAATCAAACCAATATTGTAGCCAGGGGACAACCCATTCCAAATGAAAGCCACAGAACCTATGAACTTAATTAGCATGGACTAAATGTTTTATGAAAAATGAGTTCGGATGACTTTGTACACTGACAAGAACCCCCCCCCCCTCCAGACCTTTAAACCCAATACCAACAAATAACATCCAACACATGTCAAACCATTTACTTTTATACACTAGAAGACCAACTGGACCTTGCTAACTCTATCAAGAGAAGTAAGTGGGACTCAAGAACATATCTAACCCTCATAGTAGAACATAACAGATCATTCGCCACAGCTTTGGCAAAAAAAAAACTCCCACAAAACTTCCCCCAAGAAGCAATCGGGATCGCCGCGAAAGAACCTCTTATGTCCTCCTCATGGGCTTGAAACGATTGCCGGGGTCAGGCAAGAAGTAACGGTCCCAGACGTCGTGGTGCTGCGAGACTCGACCCCACGGCTTGAACTTCCCGTTCCAGTGCAACAGTTTGGCCTTGGCCACAAACTTCTTGCTGTAGCTGGTGCCGGATGTCCAGCCTATGGGAAGGGATGGAAACAAAGCAAAACGTGACGATGGAGATTATACACAAATTGGTCGCTTTCAAGGACAAGCGGGCTAACCCAGATTTCGGGGATGTCCAGAAATCTTGACCTACACCAAATGTGGGCATTGCCCTACCTATAGGAGAAGTTTGGTTTCATTGTTGGTGTGTATATTTGTTTGGTTATAAAGAAAAGTCGACTTGTCTTTTAAAGAAACTGAACAAGGGGCAAAAACTGTACCTTCGATTTTCTCAAAACAGCATTTTTCGGGATAGCCCCCTTGTGCTCGAAAGCGACCAATTGGCGCGAAAAAAGATAAGACAAGACAAACACATTACAAAACCGAAATAAGAAAAGAATCGACATGACAAAAGACAAGATGAGACAAAACACTCAACTTGGCATAAGAAAAAACAAGAAGACACAAAATATGATGATGGAAATAACAACACAAAATTTGACGCAAGAAAAGACAAAGTGAGACGAAATTAATTGTACTCTTTTAGTTTAGTTTTAGTAAAGGTTTTACGGCACTCGCAACTGCATAAGGTCATATGAGCGCCAGAAGATTAGAGGTTTTACAAGAGAGTAACAAACATAAAAAAGAAGAAGGGGATATAACGACGATAGATGTTTGACAGGAAAGAAGAAGCAAACCACACCAGAGCACCCGCCAACCACCCACTTTGTACTCTTTAAAACGGATGCTTTGTAGACACCCGAAAAGACACCCAAAGAATCTACCAAGAGTGCATGCTCATACGACCTTATGTAGATGTGAGCGCCAAAAGAATCTTACTAAACTAAAACTAAAACAAAAGGGTAAAACAAACCCATCTCAAGACAAGTTGTTACATTTCTGCTTATGGCGAACTTATTCTTATATATTGAGCTGCCTTTATGTTTGTTACTCTCATGTAACACCTTTAATCTTTATGTTTGTTACTCTCATGTAAAACCTCCAATCTTTATGTTTGTTACTCTCATGTAACACCTTTAATCTTTATGTTTGTTACTCTCATGTAACACCTCCAATCTTTATGTTTTTTACTCTCATGTAACACCTCCAATCTTTATGTTTTTTACTCTCATGTAACATCTCCAATCTTTGTTTGTTACTCTCTTGTAGCACCTCTAATCTTCTGGCGCCTGATATGACCTTATGCAGTTTCGAGCGCCGTAAAACCTCTACTAAAAAAATGAGCTGCCTTACCCAGATAGCGCACGTGCCACATGGGGTCAATGGCGGAGAACTTGTTGTAGAAAACAATCATCATGGGAGGCTGGGACCCTCCACCCCCTCTCTCGTTGCCGTACACCTCTTCCCTGGGGAGAGAGAATAACAGAAATATACTTCCACCTGTGTGTGTGTGCGTGCGTGTGTGTGTGTGTGTGTGTGTGAGTGTGTGTTAAAGGCACAAAGTGAGTCCATCACAGTATAAATGTGTACGCGTCATAATGATAGTCAGTACTCATCACGTCACGAGAGCACACCACAACAACAGTCACTCCACATCACCACAACATCTTACAGTCACTACAGATCACAAAAATATCTTTAATCAAATGTTTGCTTAGAAATTGTTCAGATTTTAATTCAGTCCAGATCTTTGTTTATACCTTTGCTCAGAACTTTGTTATTTCTTTGTTTCTGTCTTCGTTCATATCTTTGTAATGCATCTTTGTTTCAATCTTTGTTTCTACCTTTACTCAGAACTTTGTTCTGTATCTTAGTTTCTATTTTTTTTCTCAGAATGTTGTTATATCTTTGTTTCTATCTTTGCTCAGATCTTTGTTTATATATCTCAGTTTCCATCCTTCTACCAATCTCTGTCCTTACTTAGTGTTGAGCTCCATCCAGTACTCTAGCTGTGCCGTGATGTTGAGCTTGTCCCACTCCCTCAGGTCCGTCACAAACACACCCGTGTTGAACGAACACGCCGTCGCCTTCATCTTCATCTCCTTGATGTGGGGATTCTTGAAGTCCAGATACTCTGCATACACATTCTGTGCAAACAAGAGCAGACATGAGAAAAATTGTAATTGAACGTATTTGACACCCCCATCAACAAAATTAAGGTAATTTAACCCTTTGAACTCTGACCTCCTGTGGCTACTGTACCCCTCTGCCTGAGCTCCTGAGCGATTCACACTTTTGTAAGTCTCACATTTATATAATCGTCAGAATCATATTCATATCCCACTAAGGGTAGTCCTTGTCTTTACTAGCATTTAATTCAGAAAGTTAATTTAAAAAATCAGTAATGCCCTATGATGTAAACACTGTGTGTAGCGGTGGCCAGGGCTCAAAAGGTTAAGAGGCAGGTTGCTTTAACTATGCCTGTCAGGACTAAGCTGGGCCGAGAGATATACAATGTCCCAGCAGACGGACAGAGATACTCGACCAAAAAAAAACCCAACCTCAGGGCTTTTAACTCTTTAAGCCCTGAGGTTTTTCCCCCGTTTCCCGAAGTTTTTTTCTACAGTCACCTGCACCTAGTGCACTATGTCTCATTATAACCCCAAAAGCTTGCCTCTAAACTTCTAGATAGCGAAAACAAAGTCTTAGTCATTACAAAAAAAACTTGGTTCGGGAATAGTTCTGAAAAATAAGCAAAAGCTAGCACTAAATAAAACGAAACAGTTGTCACTAGTACTGGACCGTCCCAGCATCCGATGGGGAACAGGGTTATTACCACCAGACGCTCCCAGCATCCGATGGTGTTCAAAGAGTTCAAAAGGAAGCAACTGAGAAATGGTGATTTTTACAGATGATTGTGTTGAACAGGTGGCCCCACTATAGCAGGTACAGCTGTATTAGAAGAAGAGGGGGAAATAGGTTGTTTAAAGGCAAAACTCCGAAATCTGGTCATGGAATGATGTAGGAGGAGGCCAAAGAGGAGGAGGAGGAGGAGGAGGACGAGGAGGATGAGGAGGATAAGGAGGAGGAGGAGGAGACTGAGGAGGAGGAGGAGGAGGCCAAAGAAGAGGAGGAGGAGGAGGAGAAGGAGAAGGCGTAGGAGGGGTAGAAGGAAGAGGCAAAAGAGGAGGAGGAGGAGGAGGAGGAGGAGAAGAAGTAGAAAGCGTAGGAGAAGGAGGAGAAGGAGAAGTGGAAGGATGAGGCGAGTTCCACAAGACTACAAGCACTCACAGTGAGTCGACTGAGGCGTTTGTTGACCCCGATACAATCCTCGGAGAAAGCCGCTATGTGGCCTTTCTTGAAGGGCGTGTTGTACAGCTCTCTGATGTCTCCTGGTAGAGAGAGAGAGAGAGAAAAAGAAAAGGAATAGATTTTTTACCATATTATGTGCATCATACAAGAATCAAGCTGAAACTTTATTTTATCCCTTTACTCTACCCAACTTCTTACATAAATTCTAATTTAGAATTTCTTTTTAATGTAGGTGTTTTTACACACACATTAATGCTATTTATAGACTGTCCCCGTGGTTTTATGCACCCCGCATAATTTAGCAAAATGTGATCGTTTTTTTTGCATAATTTCTTAATATTTTCCTTTATCATTCTTTTTAAAATTAACAGAATCGCATAATTTCACATTTTTGGGCCCAGTTTGCATAATTTCATAATTTTTTTTGCATAAAACGAAGGGGACAGATATAAGAATCAAGCCAAAACTTTACTCTACCCCTTTATTCTACCCAACTTCTTACATAAATTCTAATTTAGAATTTCTTTTTAAAGTAGGTGTTTTTACACACACATTAATGCTATTTGGACTGTCCCCGTGGTTTTATGCACCCCGCATAATTTAGCAAAATGTGATCGTTTTTTTTGCATAATTTCTTTTTATTTTCCTTTATCATTCCCTGTTAAAATTAACAGAATCGCATAATTTCACATTTTTGGGTTCAGTTTGCATAATTTCATAATTATTTTTGTATAAAACTACGGGGACAGTTTAGATCATTAAAGAAGCGGGCTTCAATCCTGACTCTCATGGCCAACCCAGGCTGAGAGAGATACAACAATGCCCCAACAGAAAGATTGAGGTACTCGGATCTGCTGTGTGCCACAGCCGACGCCTAACCGCTACACCACAGATCAACACTCTAGTTTTATAAATAAACTGTAGCTTTATTCATAAGCAGTGGCTCTTTTTATAAACTCTAGTCTTATCCACAAACGGTATCTATAAACTGTAATTTTCTTTATAAACTGCAGCTTAAAACTCTAGTTTTATCCACAAACTATAGCTCTCTTTATAAAGTCAAAAACTGCAGCTATATTTTAAACTTGTTTTTATCTTTCAACGTTACCTTTATTTATAAACTATACTTTAATTTTAAAATATACCATTTTTTTCTGCTAGCTACAAAATTTATAAATTGAAGCAAAGGAAAATAACAAAAATATCATGACATGTTTGCTTAGTTTTTAGTTTTAGTAAGAGTTTTACGGCACTTGCAGCACAATAAGGTCATATAAGTGCTGAAGATTAGAGGTGTTACAAGAGAGTAACAAACACAAAAAAGAAGTAGGGGAGATAAGGACGAAAGAAGGAGCAAACCACACCAGAGCAACCGCCAACCACCCACTGACATGTTTGCGTACCTTGAACAATGCAGTCGTCGTCAAGAAAAATTATCCTCTCTTTCAGTTTGGGAAACAGTCGAGGCAGATAATAACGCGCATAGTTCAGCTGAAATAAGACAATACAGGAGATATTTAGTTCAGCTGAAATAAGACATTACATAATAAGAGATAGTTTAGCTGAAATAAGACATTACAAGAGAAGGATCAGCTGAAATAAGACATTAAATAACAGGAGATAGTTTAGCTGAAACAAGACATTACATAACAGGAGATAGTTTAGCTGAAATAAGACATTACATAACAGGAGATAGTTTAGCTGAAATAAGACATTGCATAACAGGAGATAGTTTAGCTGAAATAAGACATTACATAATAGGAGATAGTTCAGCTGAAATAAGACATTACATAACAGGAGATAGTTTAGCTGAAATAAGACATAACAGGAGATATTTAGTTCAGCCGAAATAAGACATAACAGGAGGAAGTTTTAATTTTTTACTTACATACCATTTCTTAAAAAGAGCAAATATTAATGAAATTTTTCGCCAACTTATCACCAAAAAAACACCAAAAAAACCCAGCAGACTTCTTTTGCTAAATTGAGGTTGTCCAGAATGAAGTCTAGAATTTCTTCATATATGGAAAGTAGAGGAAACTTGAACTATTTTTCTTTCCATTAGAATTATCTCCCTGTCTCCAGCTGTAACTATCCATGTCACACAAATTTGATAAAAATACTGCAAAAAAATATACATTTTTCGAAAAACAACAATAATTGTGAAAATTCACTATACGAATCCATCCTCATGTTTTCAAAGGCAATTTACCAGGAGTTTAGAGACTTTCTCAATATGTCCATGCTATTTTTAGACCAAAAACTGGTTGATCTTCAAAAATCAGCCAAACATAAAATTTGCATAGCCTGACCCAAAATCTGCAAAATCAAGGGTCGCTCCTCCCCTTAAATGTTCAAAATGTGGCAAACTCTTCTCTGCTAGAATAGATCTAATTGGTCATAGCAGAAACCACATGTCATCTTAGTCCTCATCTTTTCTATTTCATTTCAGGAATTTTCTTCTCTACAGATGCATTGATCATTAATGTGGCGTCGGTGGCCTAGCGGATAGGCTCTCGGACTCGCCACCGTAAGGTTGAGGGTTCGAATCCCGTCAGGGGCCCGACATTGTGTCCTTGGGAAAGGCACTTTACACAAATTTTCCTCACTTCACCCAGGTGGGAATGGGTACCCGGCTATAAACAGCGAAAGATCTTGTCAGTTTGTTAGCGTTTGAGCGCTTAATCAGCTGCTTGCACTGTATGCTTCCCGGGAAGCTGAGAATGTTTCCGAGTGTTCTATGGTCTGCTGGGGTAATAATATAGTGTAAAGCGCATAGAGCTTGCTGTTGAGCAGGGATATGCACTATACAAATGCTATTTATTATCATTATTATTTATTATTATTAGACATTGATGGACAAACTATTATTAATTAATATTACTGCAGCAACTCATACTTTATTTTTACTGGAAATTTTTTTTGGGAATAAAAGGAAAGCAAAAAGAGAGACATTTTTTTAATCCACTCACAGGACTGCCGAGTTCTTTCCTTCCGCCTCGGAGGAGAATTTTCCCCTCCACCCACTGGGGTGGGAAAGCTTTCAGCTCAAAACTCGCATTCTTCAACTTGGATGTCATGAGCCAAATGCTGAAAGATCAAAGACAAAACTTATAATCACAGCATGCATCAATGGTGTTTTTTGACGGTCCAGTTATCGAAAAAGTAAGTTCTCTTTAAAAAATTATAACTTTTTTTATCATCGTTTTATCATGGCAATAAACACTTTACGAAAACATTTCAAAGTACTAATCTTAGGTTTCTCAAAGAGAATCAAAAGTTATCTCTAAAAACATTTTAACTTCTAAGTAGATGGCCAGGCACTCGTCGAGAATTTTGAAATGAAAAAATGTCTTGGAGAGTCCACATTAATGTGCAAGGCCCAATAATACCCCTAAAACAAACACCACGCATTGCAGGTAACAGAAATATCACAGTTGCTCATGATAAAAGAATAACTCCGCTTTTGCTGGGAAGCCGTCAATGCTATTATAAAATTCAAATTTAATGAAGCCAAAAAGTTCACAGTTACAGTCAACTCTGCTGAAATAGCCACCTGTCCGAGATGATCACCGGTACAAAAACCACTTCCAACTTCCCTGTGGTGTTTTTTCTATATTCTTGACCTGTTCACCTGTCTACGACAACCACTATTCTCCTGACAATTGGTGGCTGTCTTGGGTAATTTCGACTATATTCAATAGTAAATCAGAGAAGAAACTTTTCAACTTAAAAGATCAATAATTAGTTTAAAAAGGCAGAGGTTAAGGACACTGTGTCTCTCTCCTTTCATACCTCAAATGGTCCATGCTTTCTTCGTCTACAACCAAGTGGAACTTGACACGCGACTTTGTGTTGGAGACAATACTGTTCATCAATGCCACCATGCCACCTGAAAGATTTTTCTAGACTAGTGACATTTCAAGAAGCAATCAGCATTAAAAGAAGCTTTTCATTTTACAGAAGAGATTTCTGTGATCATTATGTTGTCAAATATAATGTATTTCAGTGACAAAATCGTGAAATATCAAGCCATTTTTCTAAAATAAAAAATTGCGCATCTAGCATTACACCGTCTAAATGGCCTAGTATATTTCTTATACAGCAACAATTCAATTGAACATTGTCTGACATAGCCCATTGCATGGGTATGAGGTAAAATTGAAAGTGGAAGAAATTCTCATCGGTTAGCACTTTTATAGAGGCCTTGGAACTTTAACCATAAAACCATCGGCATTAAAGGAACAGAATTTCATAACTTGTAGGTTAAAAGAGAACAAACAAATAGCTGTTATTTTTCTCGATCTTTTATGTATTTTGGCTGTGGAGCCCACAGTTTGGGTTGTTTGCAGCCCAAAGAATTAGGATTCAAAGTGTATAGCCAATATTTTGAAGATGTGTTCATTTTTAGTCCAAATATAAGAATAATGATTCAATCATTTTATTTGGAATCAAAACTTACCAACAGTATTCTTATCCGAAGTGATGCACACATGAATGACTTCCTTTGAATTTGCCGATGCATTTTTGTATCTCAGAGACGAAAGTAAATCAACTTTGTCTGTGAAAAGACAAACAGCATGTAGACAAAGGCATGACACATGTTATAAATTATCTATAGTCTCAATACTTTCATCAGTAAAAATTTGAAAAGCACAACATATTATACACAGCTAGTTATGTAACACTTATTGTCCAACAAAATCAGCGATGAGCACAGAAAAGACAATCATTGTTCACGCTTCAAGTCGTCAAGGAAAGGCAAAAACCTTTCACTGTTTTATAATATAAATAATGGAGTTATAATTCGATAAATGTGAAAACTCCACTAAATCTTACTATGTTCCCTCAGCTCATCTATCAACATTCATAAAAACCAATGGTACCTCTGGCCAGAACACCCATCCCAAGAAGACCTCAGTTTCTTAAAAGAAAAAAACTGATCAGGTATTTCCTACACAGTGGAAATTTAACGGACCATGCTGCAATTACCATTCACATGTTAAAATCTTGGTGACACCTTCCTTTAAAAAATGAAGACTAGAAAGACTCAGAATGGGAACAACACAAAAATTATGTTTCTTTCCAGCCACCATATCCTGGTCACAAAACTTTTGTCATTATTATGTTCACTATGTGACTTGGCAGTAGTAAGCACAATTTTTCTGTTAAGACAACAATGATTACAAGCTTATACCTGATCTTGGCGTAGACTTTGTGCTATGCTGCAAAAAGTCGGGCAAATTGTCAGGAAGCCAAATGTAGCACAGCGTACCGATCCAGACGAAAGCGAGCAAGAAGCCCACTGAGGAGGAGAATATGGCAAAAATCAAGAATATGGAAAATAGAAATATAACATACTAATGACATGTGCAATATACATATATATGCAACAAGAATAGATATCTCAGTCTAGCAAGCCTAGTGAAATCAGCAGGAGGATGCAAAAATATTTTCAGTAGTCCTATGTATGAATTTCACCATTGCGTAACAAAGAAAATACACTTGCATTTAAAGAAAAAAAAACTTGGGCCCAGAAAAATTTGTTCGCAATGCATGTTTTTCTGTGTGTGTGCAGACTATATAATATGAATATCAAAATATTCATAAGTCTAAACAAAATAATATTGCACTCTAAAGGTTGCACTACAGTCCAGATAAAGAACATTGTTCAGCATTGATGTCAACTTGAAATAAAGGACCAAATTTTCAAGATAAACATCCCTAAATCACAGAAAGCTAAGGTAACTGTTGAGAACAAAGATTGTAATTCACTCCATGCTAGTATGGGCAGATATCTTCACAGCTAATTTATAGGTTTACCATGCACCACTGGGGAAAAATTTGTATCAGGCACAACCAACAAAAACCTAACAGACCCTTTAAAGACTTTAAATTTTAAAACAAAGAGAGATCAAAGATTAGTGATGGGTCTCATTCTCAGGTACCAAAGAGATTTCAACTTAAAAACACAGTAACTAGTCTGGATTTTTTGGAAAAACTAAAATAAAAATAGTCATTCAGAGAAAACTATTTAATAATGATGGAGTTAGTACAAGAACAAGCCTGTGAACAAGAAACTTACCTACGGTAATAACAACAATGGTATTAGCATAAACGCTGCTAAACAACAAACCTACCTTTACGAGTGGAAAGTATTCCCATTTCAAAGATCATTCAGTGTTGATACAGGCAGGTCCCCTATAGATTCTCAAAGTTCAGAAGATTTATCCTGCAAAATGTCCGAAAGGGGGAGTTATGAAGAGGAAACTGTTACAAAGTATGTACAACAATAATGGATTCTCTGTTACACTAAAAAAAACAACCCTGCCAATTCACTATCTATTAAAAGAATTTTTTTTGGTGCTTTTTAATATAATAATAATAATAATAAATATAGCATTTGTATAGCGCATATCCCCGCTTTACAGCAGGCTCTCTGCGCTTTGTGCACTATAACAACTGACAAGGGCACTACTTGGATATGGTGGTCCCGACTTTTGCAACTGAAATATCGATACTGATTTAAATAGTCGGTATCAATGTTTGGTGTTTTTTCGGTAGTTCCCACCCCCCCTTATTTGAGCCTAGATCTACAACGAGATCTATACGTTCGATGCGCGGTGAGCTATCACACCTAACTACTGACTACTGCAAAACATCAAATTATGGTAAAATTCAGGGGGGCATGCCCCCCTGAAACCCCCCCCCATCTTATTGGGTCAGGGGGCTGAGCCCCCTGAAACCCCCCTACTCTTGGGGCCAAAACCCGCGAATAACAATTGCGGGGTGGGAACTACTGAAAAAGCGCCCAATGTTTTATGTTTTATCAGCAGCCTAGATCTAAATCTAGATAATCTAGATCTAAATCTAGCCTACAAAATGAGCAGTAAAATTTCACTTGTTTTTCATAAGGCAAGGGGGGTTGCCCCCCTGTCTTAAAAACAAAACAAAACATGGGGTGTTTCAGGGGGGCATGCCCCTCTGAATTTGACCACGATATGATGTTTTGCAATTAAGTTTGAAAGGCTATCTCTCCGGCACGCAAATCAAAAAGTAATTGTTTAGAGTTTAGACTAGACTTAGAACCAGAAGTAATCGTCGTTGGGGTCAAAACTAGATTCTAGATTTACTCTGGGTTATCTGTTACAAAAGTCGGGACCTAGATTCTAGATCTAGAAATCTAGACATCAACTCAGTCAACTCATTATCTTTAACTTTTCATTACATTATTACATTTTAATTAACAGGACAAACCGACTTCCGACTTCCGACAGTGACAGCAAGTAAATTTATTTGCTGCGGTTGTACCTATGCATGTGTGAGTGTTTTGTTCATTAGGACTGGAATGATTTAGTCCCTCCAGAACTCTTTCAACAGCTTAAACGCAACATACATGTAGAGCACGGTCTTCTATATATTCACACAACGTCTTACCAGTGCAAAGAGCCCTTCCACGTATCAAGGGAAAACAGAAACCAAGGGGGCTGACATCTTGAAATATCCCGGATGTAATCAGCATTTTCTATTTCGTCAGAAAGAAGAGCTTTCTGCTTGCGTAGACAAAAATTCCGCTTCGCTCGGTTTATTCTGCATTGTAATTCTTGTACACCGAACAGAGGGAAAATTAGCCTCTTTTTGTTCAGAATGTAGTTTGGCGTATCCACATAATATTTCGTATTTATTTTAAATATTTGACTAGGCCTACCTTTTCTTGAGTATTTTGCCCTTCTAATTTTGACTAGTAATGTTTCCCACAGTGAATTAGTATCTTTCTCCTAGATAAACAGGATATGCACTTCAGTGAAATTCTCAAACTTCTCCAAGGGCACTAAAATTAGGATTAAAGGAAAGAGCTTGACTTTCTGATTTCAGAGATTTTTAAATTTTTGTGTTATCTTTGCTAGTTCAGAAGCAGCGACCATTTTTGAGAATCAATTTTTGCCCTGATGGCCAAATTTTTGCTCTGCATTTTGTGCCACCAAACTTCCAAATTTTGCTTCAAAACGTCAAAAAATCCTTAATAATAGTTGTATCGTAATCATTGGGGTATCATTTTGTTTGTTGTTTTACGTAGAATCAATAATATAAAGATAAAAGTCAAGTACATTAAGAGTAACATTCTATTTAACGTTTAATTACGTCATAAGTGTGACGTGATGAGTCCGATGCCTATTATCCAATTTTCAAAAGAAAAACATCACTCATTTTGTTTTAAAGAGTTCTTTAAAATTCTATTGGGGAAGAATAATTAAAATTGAAAGCAGTTTCAATATTCCATGTATAACTCAAGAAGGAGGTTTACGGGTGCTCTGTGGTGTGGTATTGTTCCTTTTTTCCTATTAACAATCAACCGTCCTCTGTCCTCGATCTTTTCTGAGTGTGTTACTCTCTTGTAACACCTCTAATCTTCGGCGCTCATATGACCAATTTGTGTTGCAAGTGCCGTTACACCTATGCTAAACCTAAACTAAAAAAGCATGAAACAGATTTGAAGAATATATAAAATTCAACGAGTATGTTGTAAAGCCGGAGATCGATACAAGAATCACCATAGAATATGATGATTAATGACAATGATAGTACATAACAAGATGGGCCACTCAGCCAAAAAAGTGTCCGCAGGAAGTATGCTCTTTGCTTCAGATGGCGCTGCAGTCTGTTTTGAAGCTCTCTTTCGTTTTTCCAGGAGAAGAATAGGAATAGCACCTCTTTGCGTGCGCAGATCGACTGCTGTTCATCAGCAGTTCGGGTACGTTCAGTGCGGAGTTTTAGTGTTTTTTTTATTTTAATGACCTCTCGCCTTTTATTCTAAAGTCAAATTAAACGAAGAAAACCATCACCCTTTCCTCCGGAAGACGTTTTTTGTCACCGTAACCATTTTAAAAAAGCGTTCTTCCGAAATTTATCCCAAAACTTGCTAGTTTCACTCTGATTTTTTAAAACTCAAGTAGGGTAACTCTGTTCGCAAAGAGTGCGCTTTTGTGAAGAGGGCGCCACCAAATTTTGAGGACACTTTTTTAATTGGCTCAAAGAGAGAAGTGGCCCATCTTGTTATGTACTATCATTGTTAATGAGGGGCATCGAATATGTCTTCATACAATATGCACCATGCAATGACACATACCCCGAAGAACAGCGACATCAGTTCTATGATCAACTGAGTGATCTTTTAAAAACCGTGGATAACAAAGATAATGTGACAATCATGGGGCCTTGACCATCAATGGTTTATTTATAGAGGCACCAGCCATGTCCAGGTGTTTCTGTTTGCTGATGACCAGAGTATATTAAACACAAAGGAAGAGGAATCACAAAAACACACCACCAAACTAAATGAGGAATTCAACCACCTTAACATGAAAATCTCCATGTCAAAAACAGAAGTTCGGTCCCGAGGTGTTGACTTTATCAGAATTCCACTGCAATTTGTTTCATTACAAGGTGCTTTTGACATTGACATGAGTCTACATTTTTTTCTTATTAGTTAGAAAGAGTGTATTCATTATTTTTATTTGGAATTGTTTACTCTGTTATTTTTTACTGAATGTAGAACTGCATGTAAAAATATTATTATGTGCACGTATGTGTGTATGCCTGTATCATGTAAAGCACATAGAACAATGATTGTAACACGGATTTGCGCGATTAACATGAAGTGTCCATGAACTAACCAGAGAAATACTGTAAGAAGGATAAGACTGAGAGCAGTAAGTACAAAACTTTTTCTCTCAGTTCTATAAAGGCCCAGCTCTCTACTATGCTCTAGGAACGTCCGACAAAATATGTCTCAGTTTCCTCTAATTTTTTTTGAGTTACGGGTGATAAAGTCTTGATTGGACACTACCTGAGTGGGCTCCGAAGAAATAGATAACGAATACAGGTAGTTTTATCTACATATCACATATTAGATCTAGTTTTTAAAAAAAATAGAAGTATAATAATTATACCTAGATCTATTTATGTTTATTATATAGACATACTTTTATATAATGTTTTGTATCAATACAATTTTTAAAAATCTCTCTCTCTCTCTCTCTCTCTCTCTCTCTCTCTCTCTCTCTCTCTCTCTCTCTCCCTCTCTCTCTGGATAGATAGATAGATAGATAGATAGATAGATAGATAGATAGATAGATAGATAGATAGATAGATAGATAGATAGATAGATAGATAGAAGAAGGTGAATAATCGGGATGTTGGGGGTTAGTGAGGGTTGTCTTCAGCTGCTGTGTTCTATTTCCTATGTCACTAACTGGTGTTTCCTCTGAGAAATAAAGCGTCATTGGAAGTGTTGTACGCCCCCATCACCACAATATAGAGTTAGATATTATGGAGGCGGGCTGCTTCCACGCTTCCTGTCAGGGCCAACGGGGGTGAGAGGGATACAACACCCCAACAAGATGGTTGCACCCCTTTTGGACCAGTTGGCGTAATGCCCGACCCCCATTTGGACCAGTTGAACAGGTCAATTATTTATTTCAACGTGTCATTTACCCATTACTGCTTGGTGGGCTGGAAGGGGAGAAAAAAATTCGTGTCCGTACCGAGGCTCGAACTCGGACAAGAGAGTAACAAACATTAAAAAGAAGAAGGGGAGATAATGACGATAGATGTTTCATAGGAAAAAAGAAGCAAACCACACCAGAGCCCCCTCCAACCACCCACAGGAATTCTTTAACACGACGGAGATACTCAATGTAAAAAATGTCTCCCTCATTTGGGCATCAAGTTCACACCTTCAGTGTACCACGGGAAAAGAATCTACCCGCAACACCACAGACGCTGGTTCTGTTGTACTTCATGAACTTCTCAATTATGACTGTAAACTTAATGTAAATAGACGATTCCCCCTATCGGCATAGTAAGGACTGTTTAGGAGGCGGGCTGCTTTCACTCTGTCCGTCACGACTGACCCAGGCAGTGAATGATACAGCCGAGCAGAGAGACTGACATACTCCGTAAAACGTCTCCCGCTCGTGAGAACCAAACTCTCGGTCTCTCAATTTCAAGCAAAGAGCTTGAAAACTACACCATTAGTGTCAGCCTTCTCTTGAAGGCGAACAAACAAGTAGACGAACAAACAAACAAACAAACACTTAAAACAAGCAACGAGTGTACACGAGGCTCCATTCGATTCAAACAACAACAGTGATTTGAGTGTCGCCACCGATTGTGCAACAGTTTATTTGATGGAAAGTTCGCTGCTCAGGTTTGGTTTTAAAGAGAAGTGGCAACAATAGCAGGCCTGTTGATTCTGTTCTTTTTTGTAATATGAGCGTGTTGAGATTTCATGGCCTCTGTGCCTAATTCAAACGAGATAGAGACATTTGAAGCAGAAATAAGTAAATATATCACGACCTGAAGAAAGTGGAATTGTGTTGAATATATTGAAAAAGTATGTGTAGCAAAAGCTGTAGTCGGGTGATTGTTCCAGCGTTGTCACGTGATGCAGATGTAGAAAAAACGTTTGTAGAAATATAGACTTTGGATGTTTGTATCAGAGTTATCACGTGGTCAGAATCAAACGTCCAGTCCCTCAGAGCACGCGGTGACAGACAGTCAGGATGAGCAGCACGATGATGCTTCCGGTCAAGGCAGCAGGACTACTTATCTGCACGCCAGTGTCTTGACGGTAACGTACTCCTTCTCGGAACAACCCGCATCCATGATTGCAGCTTTCGCTTCTGGTTTCTTGACAATCATACAAGCTAGCGTCTGGTCATCGGGTATATGCTGTGCTACTTCCAATTGTAACACGCCAATGTAACAGCCAGCGGACACCTTGCTATGGAGCTCCTTGTTAAACCTCGCGAGAAAACCTGCGTTTGGCGAACTAGGGGCGCCTGACACTGAGGCGAGAACAAGGCTTAGGCTCAGCACTGAGCACAAGACGAAAACCTTCAAGGAAACCATTCTGGTGAAGATTGCTTTGACTGGTAGGACGATACGGTGTTTTCACACTTCGTTAGGCTCTTGTCGTTGCAGGTTCTGGGTGTGGTTTTCCGCTTTTTGGCCGTGAACGTCGTTCTGTGGGGAGGGAAACGACCATTACTAGTTGTTGGTTTTTACACCAGAAGATTAGAGGTGTTACAAGAGAGTAACAAACATAAAAAAGAAGGGAAGATAAGGACGATAGATGTTTCATAGGAAAGAAGAAGCAAACCAGACCAGAGCACCCACCAACCACCCACGATTACTAACTAGTTGGGGTTTTTTTGTGTGTGTCTTTTTGTTTTGTTTTATTTTTTTTCTCTTCAGTCAACCCATCTAGAACGGCTTCTGTGGTGTAGCGGTAACACATTTCGCCGTCTCACGCAGGAGATCCGAGTTCGATTCTCGAGTAAGGAGAATTTTTATCAAGTATCTCCGTCTGTTTTATGGGGTGCTGTATCCTAAATCAGTCCGCGGTGCCCCTGACAGACAGTATTGCAACAATTTGTTCCCTAAAGATCTAAATTGTTTGAAGGTGATGTAAAACTTCTAGAGCTACCCTTATTTTCGTCATGGTGTCATTCAAGTAGACATCTCCA